ATTGAGCCATTCCCAGCGAAACTGCAATGCCGGGCTGACTCGCGACGGAGTCGGAGCAAGCTCCGAATTCCGTCAGGTTTCAAAAATCAGTTTAATATTCTGACTCCCCTATGGGGAGTGTATCAGATATTAAGCTGATAAGAACAGATACTACACTTTGATCTTAGCTCAAAGAGCCGAGAAGCGATACCCCCTATACTTTTGCTGCCCTATTTAACTACCTCTAAGCGTTTCCTTCTTGCGAGACAGACTTCGCCGATGTATCCCTCTAGCGTCGGACGCGGTACGTCGCAGCGCGACTGCGAGCGATACGTACACGTTCAAAACCGATGAAATTAAATATAAATACATATTATATAACAGATATTAAAAAATAAATACATAGTAGATAACAAAAATTAAAAATAAAATTATTTAAAATAATTTTTCTCTTATAGAAAGACTGGATTTTACGAAGAGGTTAAACAGAGACATAAAGAGAGAGAGAGAGAGAGAGGTTAAGGCAGGAACTTGCCAAGAGAAACAATTAACTCTACACGAACACATTTGCAGCTGCCAGGTTTCGCGAGCAATGAACTCATGGGAAGTACTCACGTCGCATCCCGTCGCTGTTATGTACAACCGCAATATTTAACACCACAAATGTACATAGTTGTGTTAAAAAATATAAAAATGTTCAAACGTTAAATCTCCCGCCAAATAAATTATTTAATAAATAAAAAAATTATCGTTTCTTGCTGTATTCATTTAATTATATTCTAATTAATTATTATTGTTGAATAATTTAACAGCGTTGGCTTCACAAACATAATTATTTATTAGAAATAGAAAGATTTCACACGCGTACTGTCTATTTAGTAACGTTCTGTTTCGCGTATTCGCGCTCGACTGAATGTACAGAGTTCTGAAATTATACACACTGTACGCAAGGCGAAGTGATAAGCGTTTACTGTATTGGGTGAAAAAAAATCCCGCATGGCAATAGACGACCGCGACTCGAGTCACAAAAACTTGTTATGATATACCATGACGTATGGCTTGGTCGAACGTACGACTAATAATAAAATTACAGCTAAATATTCGTATCAAAATATTCTTAGACAACTATGAAAATCTAACAATTATATTAATTATTTATTTAACA